GCCAGCACATCGCTCGCCCGCGCCACTTCTCGCCACCCCCATTGGCCTGGGACAGCGAACCGCAGCGAGTGGGGGCCGCGATCGGCCGAACCTGCCGCGTCAGCAGGTAAATAAACTGGCCCGGCCCGCTAGGGTGCTTATCCTGGCGAGCCGCGTGCCAAACGTTGCCGACCCCTGGTATAGTCAGTGCATCAATCATAAAGGAAAAATAAATATTCATTTAGATCAAAACACTTTAAACTGTGCCATAAAAACTAATCATCGTTTGTTTTGAATTTTTGTCCTAGCTGTGTGTCATTAGGTATTTGGTACCAATAATCACATTGCTGTACCTTTCCTATAAGGTAAGAAATGTTTTCCTCTTAATATTTTGGTATTTTTTCCCCTCCAGGAAAAAAAATTCATTTTTGTTTTGAATAAATTCCTGATTGTATATAAAAGAAGTTGGAGATCCATGTATCGGATGTAAAAACATATCACTGTTTTTCATACTGCCTCAAAATTGTACATTTGAAAATAAATACTGGGTGAGAGGTTTTAGCTAATAGCATGAGATTTTTGGCTGAATTTTAAGAAAATGATGTAATTGCATGTGTAAAAAATATTGATTGCCTGTTTAAATTGCACATGCATTTATTCAAATGAACAGTCGCACCTAACTGATCACTTGCATCCTAACATACTACAAGTGCATATGCAATTGTGGTAGTTACGTGTGCAAATTATCAGTTCGGAATGATTTTCATTCCTATATTCTGAAAATGTAAGCTTATATCTGTTCAAATTTTAAGTACTTCTAGGTAAGTTGCAGTTAAGATACAGATTGTTAACTGGTGTAATGATCCATTTTAGGAGCAGAAATGATTATCTTCTGCTCTACTGCTGTACTTCATTTTATGCAATCTTTGAAGTAAATCTACAGAATTATTAAACCAGTCTAAAATTTGTATTATCATCAACCCTGTCTCAGGAGCAAACGATAACAAGGTTCAAGCTTTTATATGTAAATACATGAAACAATGTGTTTATGCAACACCAAGATAAAATAAGTTCCATAATAATAGCGTATATGAATAGACTATTAGTCTGATCAGCCTGTCAGATCACTGAGATTTAGATCATTAAATTAATAGAACACTGACAACTGGGCAGGCCATTCTTTTAATCTATATTTATAGAAACAAAAACAAAAAAATATTCAGGAGCTACTTTGATGCAGAAATTATTTCTGCTATATACCCAATGGGAGACAAGTTGTTTCCCTTGAAATCATTAGCTTCAAAGAAACTCAAGGTGAAGCTCGTTATCAGAGTTAAAAAAAAAAAAAGGAATCTTCTTCATAATAACCAAGGAACTGCCACCTAGCAATAGAGAAAATTCTGAAGCTCTGTTAAGTCTCCTTGTGAATTTTATTAATTTATTTTAAAAGCAAAATGTAAATACAGTTCAGAAGCAAAATGGAAAGTCAAACTATTAACATAATCTAGACCACTGTGTCCCACTATCTCATGGTTCTTTTTCCCATTTCGACAGATGTGTTTTTGTTTTTTTGCGCATTTTTTGGGATGCTGTTTTTTCCTTCCACTATGCCAGTTTAGGAAATGTAGCACCTCTCCACATCCCAGAGAATGGATGGGACGTATCCATTTCTATGCATGCTAGAGGTGGCAAGTCCCTTTTCCGTAGAATGCTGTCTCGGATAACACATCAAGTTGATGAGATTCAATCCGACTCGTCACAAGCAGAGATCTTTGAAGCCAATATCCATTTCTGAAGTGTCATTAAAGCATATAGGGTCCAATCCAAAGTCCACTGAAGTGAAAGGGAGACTCCTTTGACTTTTATGGGCTGTGGATCAGGCCCATAGATGTGTTCAAACTACCTGAAGAGCCCGGTATCCAAATAGCGCAGGTATTAAGGAAAAGCAGGCTAATTCATAGAGTTTAAGAGCTTAACCCTGCAAGGTACTGAATGCTCAATGTGAGTGAACAGATTTAGCTCCTCTCAAAATGCTCGGCATCTTTCAGGATCAGGCCCTTAAGTAAGAACTTTCTGAAAAGAAGATTGAATTCTCTGCTAACTAGGACTCTAACAATTTAAAAAAACTTTGAAAATGACAGTTCCCCAAAATTCTGACTATTATTACTCACTCTTCAGGGCTGAAAACTTTTCAACAAATAGATTAAAATGCTGTCAGTGAACCAATCCTCAGAGTATGGCCAGAGAAAGTGATTAACCTCTCTACTGAGAGAGATCCAGAATCTTTTCCTTCCGTGACAAAGGAATGGTTTATGTATATCGCCCATCCCAACCTTTGCAAGAAAGCTGAAGGTGTAAGTTGATTCTGTTGGATATCAAGACATACAATATCTGCTTTGCACCTAATAAATTATTCTTTTCACACACCACATATGTGCACAGACTGCATAAACATCTTCCATATTTATTACATGTAAAAATAAAGTTTAACTGGCCATCATATCTGGTTCTTGTGAAGTAGTTGCAAGCAAACCCATTTAGCATAGCCCTTTGAGGTTACACTTATAAGAGGAAATGTGCATTAGCCCCCTCCCCTAAACCAGCAATTTTATGGGATTATTAACCTAATCCTGAATAAGCTAATGAAAGCTTCTTTTAAGACATGTGGTTGCTACAATCCCAAATACTTTCCTCAAAAGATTATTTATTCAGCTACAGCTGTGGTTGCAACACTAGCTAGCTTTTAGATTAGTTATACAGTGTGTCTTGAGACCTACAAGACATCTGCATTTCTAGTCACGTGAATTTTCTACATTAGTGTACTGCAGACTACAACTTTCACATAAAACTAAGTGCTGGAGGATTTCCATGCGTAATACAGATATACAGCCGCTAATGTTGATTGCGCTTATAGTTCCATTCCATATTTGTCCAGCATGTTATTGCTTCAGCATTGAGGTTTAAAGGTTTGTGGGTTTTTTTTTAAATCAAAATTTTTAGTCATTATCCAGGTTGTTTAAGGTCTTTATATGCATTCTTTACAATTTAAACATAGAAGATTATCTATCAAATTGTGTTTGTATGAGTCAGTTATTCCTAAACAAATTGTTAGTACTTTCTAAGGCCACAAAGCTGATTAAGTCCAGAATTCCCATTATGCCATGAAATCCTGACTTTGTGTTTTAATAAATCTAAATCTTGATAAATTTAGTTGGTTAGGGTACAGATATCTTTACTGTAGTCCATTATGCCTACATCTTGACAGGCATCTTTAACAATGTAGTCTGTAAGATTGAGGTTCCATAGAAACATGAGGAAAGGACAATCTTATTTTTAGTTATGATTTCCAGCCTAACATCCCTAAGGATGATATTTAACATCCTGGTTGCTTTCATCCTTAGGCGAACAGAAACAGTATGAAAAACTTTAGCAGTTCTTGCCTTTCCATTACCCAGTGAAGCCAAAATGTCGATGCTTACATTTATTCACCTAAATAAGTGGGCCTGATATTTTTAGAGGTGTCAAGCACTGACCTCACTAACCAAGAGCAACAGGAACTGCCGGTGCTCTGCACTTTTATTAAACTGGCCTCTTAAGTGTCTAATTTTAGGCCCTCAGATTTGAGCATTTTTGTTTAATCATTTTATAGAAAAAAAGTCTGCAAGCTTCTTAAATTTACTAGTAGACCAAAGTGGGGAAAAACTTCCAAATTTAAGGGACTCTGGGAGGACACACCCTGATAGCAGTCCCTCTCTTTTAAACTGAGTGTTATCCAATGTATCTTCTCCGATCTCAACTGCAGTAGTATCAGACTAGAAGAGAGGCAGTCAACACAGTAGATTTAGGGCTTTGTAAGTCATAACAAATAACTTAGACGAGTAGGCACCCAGTACAGATTCCAAAGCACTCTCACAATATCGGCTACAGAAACAGACTGCCACATTCACCACTAGCTTCAGTTTCCAAATATATTTAAGGTGTAGTCTAATTTCTAGGTGACAAAACCATGGAATGGTCTAGTTAAGTTAAAAAGCCACCTTGATCATTCTGCTCTTATTTGATCTAGCATCAGCTGGGGACCGCAACAAGCCCCAGATTGCCAATGATATGAGGGCCATCAGAGGGGCAGATATACCAAAGCCTTTTAGCTTATAGATAAGGGAGAAAAGATCAATACTTCAAACCAGCCATTTACACTGAGTAATTGAGCTCTGTTCCAGTATCCAGAACCCGGTTTGTTCATTTTGTCTTCAGGTTGTTTTGTTTGTAATTCTAGTTCTGTCCAGGAATGATGGATGAGCTGTCAGAGCTGAGAGAATTCTATGATCCAGACACAGTGGAGCTGATGAACTGGATTAAGTAAGAGTATATTTATTTATGTTAAATGCTATTTATAATAATCCAATATTCTTATATATAGTGCTCTCCTGTTCCATTTGCCACAGGTCATCAGTGAACTATAGTGACCTGTGGGGATGATTAAAGGGGAGTGGGATATCTAGGGACTAGACCATCAGTGACTGTGGAAAACAGATAGTTGCAACTCTTGCCAGCCTGCTGTGCCCTGGTACAGCAGTTTACCACTATTTGGCAACAAGGTTTCTGGATACAAGTTGTCTCCATTAGGCCCTGTGGGTGGATAAGCACAGATCATTCCCTTGGCTGAAAAGGGGAGAGAATCTTCAGTTTGGAGAAGGTGATGGTCAAAAAATGTATTGAAATCAATGAATCTCCTTGGATGCACTTCTGCTTCCTTTGGTCTTTATTTTTTTTAGATAGCATTAAAAAGTGAGGGGCATTCACTTGTGAAAATCTGTTTTCACAGAGGATGCATGTGCTAGTCTCTTGCCCTTACTTTAAAATAACTCAATCTATGTATATATTTGTAGTGGCTTCCCGGCACAGGGGCATGGTGGTTTTGGTGCAAACAGTGGACTGAATGCTGCACTCAGAACTCACAGCCAAATTAAACCTGCACAGCTGCACTGAAGTTAGGCTTTAGCCCCCCGCCTGCTTTGCTTGAGGTGTGCAAAATGTTTGTAGTGAATCCTGAACCTACTCAGACTGGAGGTGTATCAGGGTTTACCAGAGCCCTGGTGTTTGTCATCCCTGGAAATTGCATTTATTTGGAATTCTGACATAGCCATTTGCTATTTTATTTTTAAAGCAGAGTTGTGTTCTTGAGAAAATATTTTGAAAGTAAAACCTGAACCTGCTGCTTTGTAGCCTTTAAATATTTTGAACACCCTAGTATAGCACTGCATTATATTTTTACTTCCAAGTTTGCTGTTTAATATCCCACATTTGAATAACTGAAGTTATTAGGGTTGCCAATTTTGGTTGGACGTATTCTTGGAGGTTTCATCACATGACCATCTTCAATTCAAGATTAATCTTTAATTCCTGGAGACTCCAGGACAATGCTGGAGGGTTGGCAACCCTAGAAGTTATATTTGTGCAATGTATTGTGATGAAACTAGTCACTCAGCAGTTTAACAGCAACTAATGTTTTTCACTCCTAGCAATAATCTTATGAACCATAATGCTGTATTTTCCTACTCTGCAACCTGTGAGAATCAATGCAATTATTCACAAGTAAATATGTTACTAATTTTAGAGTGGTATTCTGAAAGCAGGCCCATTTTGTCTCTATCATTTCTTTGTAGCCACATTGACACCACCTCATGACTAATTTTTATCAGCCAGTACCATTTAATGCCACTTGTTTATTAAGAGATGGTAAATATTTGATAGCTTAGGTCTCTTGAGTCCCATATACAGAGTTTGATATAGATTTATACATAAAATATACATGTGGCTTTGGTCCCAACCATGAACTGGATTTCACTTGATGCAGTGAGAATAATTTCTCACATCTTCCCTCTGCTGAAAATGCTAACATTTTCATTTTAATGTATGACAGTTAGAGTACGTTTTTTCTTTAGGATTTAATGCATTTAGAAATAATATTGTTCACAAAAAAAATTAGATGTGACTAACTACAATCAAAAACAAATTTATGGCATGCACCTCAAGGTTGGATTGATATTTTCTTAATTTAAAATGAAGTTGTGGAATCAGAACATTATACTGTGCTACCACGTGGCAATTTTGCTATAGTTAAAGGTATGCCAGAATTTGCATTATAAACTCTTGATGTCAAGAATTATTCATTCATTTATAGAAAATGAAGTGTGGCTGACCTCCAGTTTGTCATATATATTATTGAATTAGGATACCTTTGTTACATTTTGCAAACCTTTCCACATCAAAAAGGCCTTTGAGTCTGACAGATCCAAATACAGTATAAAAGAGTGTGTCCAAAGACACATGAGTGATAGAAGCCATTAGTCCAGTGGTTCTCAAAGTTTTGTACTGGTGACTCCTTTCACATAGCAAGCCTCTGAGTGCGACCCCCCCCCCTTATAAATTAAAAACACTTGTTTATCTATTTAAAACCATTATAAATGCTGGAGGCAAAGCAGGGTTTGGGGTGGAGACTGATAGCTTGTGACCCCCCCCCCATGCAATAACCTCATGACCCCCTGGGGGGTCCCGACCTCCAGTTTGAGAACCCCTGCATTAGTCTGTCCAGTTTAAAAAACAAGTCCAAATATATATTTCCACAGATTTACTCCTTATAAAAATATTACAATAGTCTTAACAATCTGTACTGTTTTGTAACTTTACAACAATCTTTTGCCATGTTTTGGACCATTACTAAAGAATATTATATCTTTGGGGTTGTGATTTTATACATCCTCTGTTACAAAAACGAGTGAAAAGGGAGCAGGAGTGTATGTACCGGAGCGGTAAAAAAATATAAAATAAATAAATAAATAAAGAGGGAGCAACCAGTGTCTTAAGGGTAGCCCTTAGAGCTTTGTGTTCCTATGTAGGAGGTATGGGAAATTCTTAGCTTTGATCTCCCTGCCTAAGACAACATGAACAACACACTCATTTGTGAGATGTGGAAGAAGAGCGGAGTGAGCTGAGCTCCCCTATTCTATTTACTGCTGGTAGGTGATCTAGGAGTAATGTCTTCTGCCTTCAAGGGAGATCCAGTCTACAGTTATGGAATCTTTTTTAACCAGACCAACCACCATGCAAAAGTTTGTCACAAACCTAAAACAGAGGCCAGGTTTGTTGAAAAGTTTGCTGAGATGTAATCCTTTTTGCAAAGCTTGGCTGGATTTCAAGTGCATCCGGGCCAAGTGTTGAGTGAAATTGCCTAATTTGTGATTGCAGATAGAAATCATGTGAAACTCAAAAACAAAGGGTCTGGGCCAAAAAGAAAAGAAGAAAAATGTGTTTTTTTACAAATCAATATAGTGAGATAGTGTCATATTCCATCTTCAAGCTAAGGACAGCATTTCTTCCTTACAGTGCCATTACTGACCTATGCCACAGTACCTACTTTCAGAGCTCAAGAGAACTCATGCTGGAAGCTAGTGCATGTGCCAGGCTTTAAGCAGGGACACTAACTAGCTTTGCCCTTTTCCCTCAGACTATTGGCACCATACTTTGAGCCACAGACTCTGATGGCAGACCAATTCATGTGTTAACTGACTGCCTACAATGGGTGCATGCCCACTTTACAGGTGCATTCAGTTGTGTGTGCAAAATTTGAATGCACAAAATCAAGGCTAGGATGAAAAATGCATGTGTTATTTTCTGTGTACATATTTCCTCCCTCTTTTGTGATGTTGCAGTCTTTCCAATCCAGAGGCCAAATTGGTCTTGACAGAGTTTCCTTGAATATGTTTTATTGTCTAACAATTTCAGCTAGTCCCATAATATTTTCATGTGGTATTCTGTGAATAAATGGCATTTTCTTTTCAGGATGAATCTGCCCTAGAGTGCGGTGTTTGGGAAGCCCCTTTCAGAAAACTCATTCTTTTTCTGTGTTGAATATATTCCTTCCTTCTTGACACTCGACTAGTAAAAGGATAACCTGAGCTTTGCCAGCTTTTATAACAACCTTGAACTCCACAGTCAGCTTTCAGCTCTAGAAAGCTCTTAATAGAAATAGTAACTCTATTTCTACTGATACAACCTATAATTGCAGCGTTCGCTATTTCAGTAGGACCTCCTTAAAACAAGTGTATTGGATTTTCATAGCAGTTTACCAAGAACAGAAAGAATTACTACCACTTTCTGAAGTCTATGCAGGTTAATCTCAGACCTACAATTCCTATAAAACCCTTTTATTTTTAATGAGTTATTCTGTAGTTTTTACATAATTCTATAAATTCTTAAAAGTGTAGATAAAGCAAGGGTTCGTGCATTATATTATAGTGCTCAGTTTACCCATTAGTTCAGCAGTAATTAACTTGTTGAAGCTTAGAGCTTCAAAAATAAATGAGATTATTTGTTCAAAATGCCATCAGGTCTGCTTGGAATGACATTTAAATTATATAATGTAAATCAGTTTGACCTGTAAGTCCTTGTCATTATTTAGTGACATTTCTTAGAGAATAAATTGTTTGCAGGTTGGGCAGCCTGGTACTGAGTTTGGCAGAAAGCTATAAAAACAAATTATCCTTTCATTTTATATATCATTTGTTCAGACATTTGTAAAAATTGCTTCATTTTTCTGTAATAGAGAAGTGCCATTCAGTGGTTTGAAGCATGTTAATTGCTTTAGATACAGACCACAGCTGTTAGTGGGTGAATCAGGTAGAAGTATTAGTGAAGGATGCATACATGAAACGTTGCAAATCATGCTGTACCTTTAACATACTGACTACGTGTGTCATGTCCCTCTCTTATGGCTAATCCATAGGATCAAAGCCTTACGATCAGATGAAGGAATTACTCTCTTTATCTCAAATGGTGGAGTCCTGTGCTTTGTTTCTGGTTCAGGGTTCAGTCGCTGCTACAGCTAGTGTTGTGGATCATTATATGTGCATACTGCTACATTCCAAAAGAAAGTAGTTTCTTTTTGATGGAACATTTATTCATGACACTTGTGGCTTTGAATGTTTTAAGTGCAAATAAAATATTAAAGCGAGGTTAAAGACTTTCAGAATTTCAAATAAAACTGGTTTTATAAACCACTGAAAAATAATTTTTCAGTGAAGTTAAACTGGCATATTAAAAAAATATTATCTATGCCCTTTTTGAATGAGATTAACATGGAACTGCAAGAAGTTTTAGGAAAGGTTTATGATAAATATTAATTCATTTTTAAGTAGTATCTTCTGGAGGGCTCTAGCAAAATGTAATGCTCTCCTCTTAACATTCTCAAACTTTATCATGGAGCTCCATGAAAAAAAGACTGATCATTTACAGCCACCATTTCATAAGGCCTCTAAGATACACCTTTAGATATTGGCAGGTGCATGCACTGGTATGTGAAGAAAGCTTATTTCTGTATCAAGTTACCCGACAATTACTTGATTGTTAGGTTGTGGTTGTGTATGTGTCTCTGGCTGTGGGTATTTATGCTTCAAATTCCCTGCTAATTCCATTTTAGTTTATGCTCCTTTTTACTGTCCTAATCTCACTTTATAACAGTTGTTCTCAAACTTTTGTACTCGTGACCCCTTTCACATAGCAAGCCTCTGAGTGCGACCCCCCCCAAATAAATTAAAAACACTTCTTTATATATTTAACACCATTATAAATGCTGGAGGCAAAGCAGGGTTTGGGGTGGAGGCTGACAGCTCGTGACCCCCCAGGTAATAACCTTGCGACCCCCTGAGGGGTCCCAACCCCCAGTTTGAGAACCCCTGCTTTATAATCTGCCTCGGTCATGACGCCTACAAAACACTGGACAAATGCTACACAGTTGGTATACTGTAACCACTTTTTATTACACTAATCATAAGTCTCACTGCTACCTTGTGCTCTGCCTTATCTGTTTGTTGTATCCACCCTTTGTGTCATCATATATTTAGACAGAAATTTCTGGGTCAGGGACCATCTTTTCATTGTGTAGATTCAAAATGAACACAAGGATAGTTATGATGAATGACAAAAAAAAAAAAAATCTTGCATTCTGATTGATCCATGCTGTCAAACAGATTGGATCAGTATCAGTGGAGAGCAGTCATTTGGTTAGGAGTGAAAGATTAGATTTGCAACATATTTTCTGATAAGCTACTTTAAACATATGACAAGTAGATGCCTACAAATATTCACAGGCTGTGTAAGCTAGCGAATGACATTATAAATTGAAATTATTAGGTTTTACCCAAAAAGACTAGCTCTAAGCAGCTATTTGCATATCTCAAATAAATTTAGGATTTTCAGGAAGCCTCTTTAATTGTGTCTGTAAAATTTGCAAGCATATCCATTTCTAGTTTCCAGAACTGACATTTATGCATGTAGTTTACCCATTTAGCAAACAGATTTATTTATTAGGGCCTAGTGTTTAGGGGATTCATTGCAAATCTTTTCCATCATATTCAGGGACTTCAAGAATCAAATCACATTTTCTAGAACATTTTGCTACCTGAGATGAAAGAGATTGGGGGATGGGGGAAAACATTTCTCCTGATCTCTAACTGTGCTGATGCAAAGTGCTACCTCAAAGATTTCCTCAATGTTCTGAACATTTGTTTAGGTCAAACACTCCTAAGAAAGCAGTGATTGCTGGGAGCATGCAGCTATTAGCAGGAGTCAAACTGTGCACTGGAAGGATCTTAACTAATCACCCACATTATGAAGACAAGAGTCTAAGGGAGAGAACAAAACAAGTAAGAACATTCTGATCTTACTTTCATCTAATTCCCATTACTATAAGATGGGTCTATCCCACAAAAGCATGTGTGCCCTAATGGAGCGTTGAGACTGAAATAATTTTGTTCACTGCTTCTAGTTTGTTTCCTGGTGCAGTTCAAAGTATTGATATAATCTCTGAAGCTTTTAATGGTTTGTGAGTCTGCTAATTTAGGGCCAGATTCGGATATTCTTACTGAGAGACTCAGCACCAAACTTTCAGTCCATGGGGAAAAAGAGCTAAAGTGGTTTTCAGCCACGCTTGCACCCTCCTACGTAATTCAGCCTGCCTTATGGACAGCAGTACGGCCCAGAATCTACACTATCCTATATGCTACAGTCCCATCTGCTCAGAGGGACAGCCACCAACTGCATTGGGAGAATTCTCCCCTAGCTGGATCCAGGGCTTTTAGAACCCTTTTATGTCACCCTGGTGCTTTACCTGGTATAAAAGGAGTAGCAGTGAGAATCTCACCTGTTTAATAGTACCCTAGATTATACATTTGTGTATACTGAAATCAGTGGGACTACAAGAGGCATAAGGTGCTACTAAACTTGAGTAAAAGCATCAGAATCTGGCCCTCAGAGACCACCTTCCCTCCTTGTGTGATGACGTGGCAGTTGCAGTCATCCAAAGTTATGGAGCTAAAAGCCATCTGGTTTAATTATGAAGAGGCATTTTCAGTGGAGCAATCTTGATTCTGTAGCCTATTCCCTTTCCTTTATTGCAGCGGAGCTGATCTGTTGACCTTTAGTGCATGTCCCAAAGTCTGTTTTCTCGCAGTGTGTTCAGGATGTTAACTTTAGCTAAAGTGGCTCAGGGGTCTCCTTTGTGGAACAGAGCCAGATGAAGTAAAGTTTACAGTTTTATAAACACTTGTACATCAATTCGAGTGCTGATATGGTTTAATCCACTAAAATGAATAATATAACAATATTGCTTAATGAGAGGGGGACACTTTCTGGCTGTTAATGATAAGAGACTGAGGCAAAATTTCATTTCCCCCATTAACGTGTCATGATGTTGGGAAAAAGAGCACTTTTGTAACTGTCCCTACAGGACTGAATTTGATGTATTTGTGGGTGTCGCTCCAGCAACAGCAAACATTCAGATTTAAGCTACATCTAGACTACAGCACTTTCTGCAGCGCTTGTAGTGAAGACACTCCAAGCCGATGGGAGAGAGCTCTCCCATCAGTTTAATAACTCCTGCCTCCGTGAGAGGCAGTACACAAGGCTGTCTACACTGGCGCTTAGGTTGGTATAATTTATGTCGCTCAGGGGTGTGGATAATCCAATGAGCAATGTGAATTATACTAAAGTAACCTGTAGTGTTTGGGGGTTTTGCACAGAATTCACTCCTTTCTACCATTAAAGACCTACAAAAAAAATAAACAAACACGCAAGCCAAGCAGAGTTCTGCCCACAAGGGAGAACTGCAAGAAACTCCATGAAGTCTGTTAGGGACTTGGCTATTGCTGTTGATTTTACATGGAAAGCATTCAGGTGCTATGTTGGGTGAAAGGGTAAATCCTTTACATAGATAGAATGACTATATTCTAATACATTTTGGAAACCATATGAGAGACGTCTGATGGCTATACAGTAACCAAAGATGATGACATTTGCCTTATACTTGGTAGGTAATTGATTCACATCTTGAAGATTGTATTTTTAAGACAAACTTCTCATCTTTCTCTGGTTCAAGATGAAAAAATAATGAAATAGAATAAACAAATGTACAGTGATAACAAGTCTGTTTTGCTCTTACAACTTCATTTTTCTGTTTTTGTAGCTTTATCAGGTATATGCAAAGAGATCTCCTGAAGATGTCTACAGCATACTGAGATCCTTTGGAACAAACTATGTAATCTTGGAGGACAGCATATGTTATGAAAGACGGCATAGCAGAGGCTGTCGGTTACGAGACCTGCTCGATATAGCTAATGGTCATGTAAGTATAGTACAAGGTTTTAGAAGGAAAAATGTATTTTGTTTCATTTCTTCTAGGAGAAAAGCAATTAATGTTTGAGTCTGAAGCTGCTAATACATCTTTTCCATTTTGCAATGAGGATGGGAACTAAGGCCCAGTGGAGCCATTTTTCATCCAGAAGTTCAGCCTAAAAGGAGTCTAGCTGCTTTAACTGATAGTAATTGGGGGAAACAATCCTCACCTGCTGGACCTCAGGTGAGCACGGCACATGCCTAGTGTTCCCTGTGTATAATCTTCCAGAACCTGGGAGGATGGAGGCATGGACTCCAACAGGTTGGGTAACGGCGTAAGTAACACGGCTGTGCCCAGGGAGTTCTCACCACTTACTAGGAGTTGGCTCCACAGGGTGAAGGCCCTAAACAGACTGCACAAATGCAAGCAAAATTGCATAGACTCAGTGCCACAGAGAAACCAGAGCTAGAACTTAGCCTTTAATGAGAGTGCAGCCAGTGGTGCTATTGTAATACCTAACATTTTAATTTGGTCCTTTCTTCCCATTTGGTTCACATGGGCCCTTTGAGTATATTCCTTTTTTTCTAATTCCTAGAGTTCCTTGTTATGGTACATGATTGAGTGGTGGTTAAGGGTGTTTCACAAAGCTGTTCACTTTCTTACAGGTCATGGATGGTCTAGGAGAGAATGAACCTGATCTGAAAGCTTCACTGTATCCTCGCTTCTGTGAGGAAATTAAAAAAAACTTGTCTTCTTATTCCATCTACTTCACTAGAGTGTTCCAGAACAAAACATTCCATGTTTACAAGCTTGCTAAACATAAATAGCATATATTCCCAACAGTGGCTTTAAATTCAGTATTTTATTGCTAGGACCGCAGTGGGAAATGCTGAAGAAGTTTACAAAATGTTAGTTTTTAGGCATTTTACATTAATCGTTTCTTGTTTAATTACTGTGATTCTTCAGTTAGTTTTACACAGTTTAATTTTTATAACATTCTTGACATTGACAGGGAATTTTCCATTTTTAGCTGACTGAAAAACGTGCAGAATAGACAGTCTGCATCAACACTGCAGAATGACTAATCTATACAGTTCTGCTCAGGGTTTTGAATATTTTACTGTACCATGAACATGATAGAAGTAAGCTGAGTGTAGGCCTTGTTACTTCATAACTAAATATGTGTTAGCTGTGGTCTTTTGAAGACATTAAAACAGTAAAAACTTTGGTTTCAATCCTAGAAGCTCATCCTTGCAGGCAAACCTCTCTGCCCATGCAGAGCCGGTTTGTCTTCAGTGGGACTCTCTTGGACCCTTAGGCCCACATAGTTTGGATCTGATGGCAGGATCAAAGCCTTTGATAGTGAAAACACGTTGGAGACTAGAGTAACCTCCATGTTGTCAAACACTTTTTAATTATTCAGATGTGTGCTGTTGCTTGTTTTTATGCTGTTTTAACACAATGATAGATCTTAGTGTATTTCTTTTGAGACTTTAAGGTTGGAGCATGTTTGATATATGTAGTACTTTGGTATCCTCTATTAAAAGCAATTTAAAATGCTCAGAACAAGTATAACAAATGAAATACAAAATCGTTCAGGATCCTTACAATACTCCTCCTTTGCTGTATTCTGCTTTCCCTACCACAAGAAGGTATATTCCTCTGTTAATACCACATAGAACCAAGAGTAGAATATCAAAGTTGAGCACTGCAATGGAGATGAGGGGAGCATATTGCCCTAAAATTTGCAGCGAAAGTGTATGCTCACAATGGAGTTCTTTGCTTTAGAGTATTTCAAGTACCCCTAAAACATTTTTTAAAACAAAACTCTGTCACTGTTTCCCTCCTTCTCACCCTTAGTCAGTCATTTATTTTGGACTGATTTTGAAGATGATGTTCTATCTTTAAACTTTTGTAAACTTTGTGTTTTGTTTGTAGTCTTTATATTTTTTCCAGGCTAGAATTTTGTGAATTCTATGGAGTTTTTAAATACCGTGTATAAAAGAAGTCACTGTTATAGTACTTTAGTGCTAACTTATTGTTTTTATACTAATTAGAGACTAGGTCTGCTTGAAAGCCTAACAGCATTCTCCCATTTTAACTAGGCACCTGCTATCCTTATTTGTTTCTTGTGAAAAGCAGAACAGGTAATAATCAAGTGCCTCTAGGTCAGTGCTGAATTAACATTTAAACATGTATAGGAGTATATGTGGCCTGCTCAAATAATTCATTTATGATAATTACTGTTGCAGTTAATTTCTAGTGATGGGAAACTTAAAAGTGCTACTGATAGCATACTCCACATTTAATTTAATCAAGATGTGTAATGAAATTAACTTTCACAACTGAGCTGTGTTCCAATTCCAAATGATTTAAATGTTTTCCATTTGCAGTTGTACTAAGCTAATTGACTGCAGGGATAGAGATGGTCATGTCACATGCTCAAACAATTTTATATTCAGTAAATACTCATTAAGCAGCATTCAACATCTTTCTGAACTTTCATGCTAACACAAAAGGAAAGTGTGCTTTAATCAAACTGTATTTAAATCAAACATTGACAGTAGCTAGGTTGTTAAACCAAGCAACTGAAACTCCTGAATAATTTCTGTCCTGTATTCCTTAATGAGGTTGGAGACCACTGCAGTTTAACATACTACAATAATAAAACATTTTAATCAGTATTAAAACTTTAATTAAGCCCTTAATGATGCATACCTGTTCTTGCTGACAGTATTGGTCAGTAAATTCCTCAATGAGTGCCTTACAATAATTGAAAACAAGCACATGTAAGGTATAGTAGGTTTAGACTATGTGGTCTTATTTTAAAATGCAGTGTGGTCTTCTTTTAAAGCGCAGTTACTTTGCTCTAATTACATTTAAATATTCCAACATACATCAGTCTTGATTTTAAGAGTCTTGCTCATAGGTATAGTACTATTGAGAATAAAAAAATGTGACTAACATTAATTATTTTAAATAGATTGACATTTGTTACAGTTTTAATACAGATTGTATTTAATGTTGCCAAAACAGAGCTGACGCCTTTTGCGGAAACTATGAAGTGCCAAAAAAAGAAAAATTTACAAGGTAGAGTCCAAGATAGCTTTGTTCTTTGCAGATTATAAGAAACATGCTTCTTGTTATCACGACGTTATCAGCACAGGGCAGTATTGTTTTTAGAATACAAATTCCCCAAAGGCATCATAAACATTTAAAGTGTTCAGGAGCTAAATATTTTGCAGCTAAGTCAGCAGTTGTTAAGGTCTAAATGGTTTGAAAGGTGTGTGTCATTTTAAACATTCAAACTTTACTAGGTCCTGAAAGAATTAATTCTAGATGGAAAGGCATATTTAAATAGCTAAGTGATACTCTATTTGTGCTATCTCCTTAGAACAGAAAGTAAGGAGAAAATACAATAGGAGCAAAACACTTACCAGCTGGAAGGAAAGGAGATACAACTAGCAGTACTATGCTTTAAGGTAACCATTTTAGTACTACAGCTTACTGTCTTTCCCAAATTTAAAGGACTAACTACTAGAGGAGAGCATGCTGGGAAAGGGTGATCCCAAACTGGACAGTTCATTGGTGACCAGGCAGCTAACAGACAACACTCCAGTAGTGGTTGATGGTAGGAAAAAAGGCTAAATTTCCTATTCTCTGGGAGCCAGGATTAGGGTGCAAGAATCCCTGAGGCTTTCCTATCTCAAGTCTGGTGCTTTATGTATTTGTAATAATTATGTCCTCCTTTTTTGGTGGTTTGCTATGATATATGTTCATGCATTAAAATCTGGATTCCTTTTTTACAACAACCTCTGCCTCTGATTGAAATTCATCACCCCAGTACATCTTCACAATACCAAATGGCTATCATGGCATTTCTCATTATTTATGCTAAATCAGATGCACCTCCATTTGCTATAAAAACTATTGTGCATTTAGGGAAATCTATAGATTACTAACTCAGTGACTCCTTGAATATATTGCATACTGTTCGTGACCATAGTAAGGACTTTTGAGCAGATTCAATTTTTGCCATAATGTATAATTGTAAGTGCAGAGAAAACTTTAGATCACAGAGCTGAAACATCATCAGATATGGGATATTTTTTTTAGGTGAGAAAAACCTTTGGGGTTCAGAAGTACATTGCCCTTTCTGATTTGAATATTCTACTGGTGAGATCTCGTATATAATTGTTTTATAATATGTTGTACTGAGATGTTATGAATATTGTATACTTAATAAAGTTGTGTCCTTTTAGAATCATATCAGAGAGCCACTTTGTTTTTATGGTGAGGTGGGAATGGCAGCAGCTTTGGAACCTGCCCTTTGTTCAAGTCTCCTATGTTCTTTCATGTAAGCTAGGTCTCAGTGAGAAGTTTTGACCTTCTCTTAAGCTTGTTACATGACATGTGGAGTTAATATTTTTTTAAATCACCTTTATAGTTTGACAGCATATGAGTCACTTTTATTGAATTTCCAAGTTAATGATTTAGCAGTAGTGATTTTTCCCATCACCCAGTGCACTTAGCTTAAGTGAGGTCAGCAGGCTGTCTTAAGAAGTTACACTGACAGTAGTAAATATAATTTGCTTTGACCCAGAGGGATCAGCTGCTGCTTTTTTTGTTTGTTAATTTCTTAAGTTTTGGTAATTTTATATTGTAGAAAGACGCATGTATTCTTTAGGGAGGAACAACAGAGAATAATTGCATACGGCAGGTGCCTTATTTGAATGTACAGGATCTCTAAGATAGGCATGATTTTAAAAATACAGAAATAAGTTCTGTTCTAGAAATCGGATGTGCAGACATGAACAGGAATGCAGCAGAATCATGTCCCTTTCCCAGTTTTGCTTTTGGTGCTTGACTAAAACAAACTTGCATGAATGGCGCAAGAGGCCTTTTGCTAGTAGAGTGAATTAGGTACAAATCAGAGATTCAATGAGACTATGAATTTTAATTAATAGAATTTAATTATAACGTAATATGTGTACATTGAATTTTCTAGACTCGGTTAAGTAGTCCTTTTTCAGTGCCTTTTCTTAATCAGGATCCTCCTCTCTCTAGTTCTTTATCAACAGTTATCAGTAGATTTTGCAAACCACTCATGCAGACTCCCTCAAGAGATATAATGCCAAACTGTCTGTCTGTTTTACTAATCAGTGCAGTGCTCATAATTCTAACCCCACTCCATGTGCTCAGAGTGCAAGTGATGCCAGTCTTGCCTCTCTCTTGAATTCCTTGGTCTGGCCTAGTGTTACAAAGCTAATGGCAATCGGCTTTTCAATGACTTGGCTACATGTTATACTTGGAATGTCATTTTAAAAGAAAAACCATGAAGATTAATTTATCTGACAGGCAGACAGATTAAATACTAATATCCACAAGATTATTTAAATTTTAGACCTATACAAATATTTTATAGGAAATAAAATGTTCTTACTACATGTTAGAGTCTATAAAGAACTTGGAAGGAGATTAGTAAAAGTACCAGATTACTGAAAATCCAACTACCTAGGGAACCACTGATTTTTTTTTTTTATTTAAATTTTTTCTCTTTTCTGGTTGCAGGGCTTTTTGCAGTCAAGCCAGCTGTCCCTGTTCGTGAGAGATGTCAGTGCCTCTCTATGATAAGCTTTTTTTGTTACGAAATACAGAAATATTTGTGTGTAGGAAAGGGGAACAAACTAAGAGACATGATTTCAGGGACTGCGTGGTAATTAGAACAGCAGCATACTAATTAAAGCAGATAAATGAATTATTAGCAACTCTAGAAGTAGGAAAGATGGATTTTTAAATTAGGGAATAACACCTGCAAACAATTATATCTTATTATGGCCATTAAGGATATTTGTTATGTTCATTGAGCATTTATTTCTGTTAATGATTTTCATACTATCTGACCTTTGTATTATTCTGCATGCACTCTAGGTGCTGAGACTGTGTGTTATAATATGAGAGAAAGAAGAAATTGCAATTGAAGCTGCATTTGAAGGGTGGTAAGCAAGGAAAATTTGCCAGTCAGCTTCTTACAGTGTGCATGTTCACTCGTGCTTGAATCACAATTTTCAGAAACAAATCAATGCATTGTAAGGGAAAAAACATTTATACCAGACTCTGTTCTTAGTGTGTATGGATCAAGTTGGGAGCAGGCTAACCAAAGCCACACTTATTGCAGTCATTATCTATATTTAAGCTCATACAATAGGCCTATGTATGCATCACCACTAAAGTGTGTTTGTAGCTACCTTGTGCCTCATTTTTGCTCATCAAGCCAAAACTAGTTTCAACTAGAAAGAGTAAATAATATTGACCAGCATGGTGAATATGCTCAGTATTATGAGCACTATCCTAAAGTAACTGTACTGATAACAGTGAGAGTTTTGTCTTTGAGAACCTAGGATCAAGGTTCATTTGATGGATAATAATCTAGGACTGGGTCCAAGCAGCTAACCCAACAGAATATATATAATTAGGACATATCAGATATAGAATATTTATTATTAATACAGTACTTTCAATGTGCGTGGCACTTTACAGGCAAATAAAATAACATAGTCCTTGCCCCAAGGAGCTTACAGGCTAAATTAGATTGAAAACACAACCAAAATGACAGCATATCATTTTGGTGGAGGAAAGGAATTTGGGGGCAGAGACAGTGGTAAACACTGGGAGGGTATTTATTGCTCTTGAAGGGGAGTAGGGTTTTAGTGAATATTTACCTCCGTTTTTACAGTCTGTGACTGCTACAGTCATAAAATACATAGAACCCAACATACTTGACTTGTTTACAATTGCAGTATATTTATTTAATCTAACATTTCTTTCACACAGTTTTCTGAAACAGTTAAATAAAATATTTTAAGTGTTTATCAGTAAAAATTATATTTGGACTAAGTACTCTCTGAAAATGAAAAACCTTAAGGGTGAGTAAAGTGTTCCCAGTTTATCTTTTCCAGATGAAAGGGCTGCATCACTGGAAAATGTAATCCATTAGTTGCTTTCTGGGCAAAAAATTCTCCAGCAAGTGTCACAAATGCACAGTGTGTCTGTGAGGGCAAGATATTGCATGTGCATTTCTGACTTTAAACTGAGAAATATGTGCAAATCAATATAGCCTGACAAATCTGTATTGACCCATATTCAGGTGAAGCATGGTGATTTTGGTGTAGAGGTTTTTTGTTTTTGTTTTTTTTTGGTCTTCTTGCAGCAACAGTCCGGAATAATGTTTGGTGCCCCAAAACTGATGCACCTGTTTCAGGTGGAGAGCAAAAAATGTTCTGTACAACACAGACATTCTGTCCACTGTCACCCAAGCTAGATGCATCTCCCTCTGGCATATACACACAAGAAATGGGGAGGTGAAGTTCCTTGCCCCTAGGTGATGACAGTGAATTTCAGGGACCTGCTTAGCTCTCTCCCTCTGCACAATTGTGACCTCTTCAGCCTGCAGTATTTGGAATTTCACCACTCTGATAGTCCAGATATGAGGTCTCATTTTTGCCCTAAATATTAGATACTTTCAAATTCATTTCAACTGTTTAACTGAAAGGGAATTCACAATAAATATCACCGCTAAGTGGGAGAAGAGAGCCTGAGTTATTTTTCTCAACTTTTTCACAAAGACAAGTGTGTCCCAGAACACTCTCTAAATATTAGGATAAAATTTTTAAAACTCACTCCAGTCTACTCTTTTAAAGGTAAAGGAATTTAGACACCCAACTCCCATTGATTTTAGCAGACTGAGGGGCCCAAATACCTTTAAAAATCTGGGCCTTAGGCACTTAGGAACCCAGATCTTATTGCAAGTCAATGGAACTTAAGCTCATAAGGGCCAGATTTTCAAATGTCTTTAGGCACCTGCCCAAGTGACTTTTAAAAATGTATGGTGTAAAATTTTCAGAAGTGCCTAACTGACTTAGAAGCCTAAGTCCCATTGACTTCCCAGGAGATGTAGATTCCCCAGCCCCAAAATGACTTTTGAAAATGCAAGTTGGGCTCCTAATTAATTAAAGTGCTTCTGAAAATTGTACTCAGTGCTTTCACGGTGCTTCAAGAACTTTTCTGACATTAAATGCCCATATCTTAGTTAATTTCTCCCCCCTTCCCACTGTCATTTCTCCATTTCCAGCTTCTTAATTTTCCATCTTTTCTTGCTATCCCCATAGCATCATGTCTCATTGTTTTATGCTTCATGTACAGAAAAAAGTATGCAGCACTCAAACTTTATTCACTTTCTCAATGTCAAAGAAACAAAACATATTCCCTGTTGCTGAAGTAAGTTAAACTTGACTTTAGGTTTACATTCGTATCAGTTTATAAATACAAATGCAGACCCAAGAAAGAAGATTGAAATGTATTGTACAGAGCAGTGTCTGTTTCCAATATTAATTGTTTAGCCAGAAATCCCATTCAGCATGCTAGCTAGTCAAAGAAAGTGGTTTCAAAAGGTTTGATCAGTTTGCAACATACCATAAAGCCATCTCTTTTGACTGAAGGGTTCCACCTACTATGATTGCCATGATGTTGGGTTTTTTTCCCCTGCAGATGATGATGATTTTCTTGGAAGCACTGCCAGATTCTGAGTGCTGCATTATTATTTGCTTTGATAAGTTGTCAGCCAGCATTTTGTATTCTGGTATTCCTCTACTCAGTTTATGTTTTTGGAAAATTAGTCTCGATTCAAATTAGCCTTCTAGCAGGGTCTTGCTTGTTACAAAATTCTAAGCTTTGGGACACCAGTAGGTGTGGGAGATTCATTTTAGGTATAGCTGCCTTCAGTCAGGTGGGCTTTCAAAGAGGGGCACTTATTTCCACCATTAAGAAATAAACTATTAATCTGGAAACAAGGAAAGTTTTTCTTCTAACTGAAAGCATTTTTTTCTTCTCAGAAAGTTTGCATCTCTAAACCCCCAGACAAGGGCAAAATGCAGCTCTTGCTCACACCCATGCTGCCACATTCTAGTCAGTGAGGTTGCATAGACACAAACAAGATCAGGATATGGTTTGACTGTTCAGAGGTGCAAGTTTATCTACGTGTGTTCAAAGAGCTCAAACTGGTGATGTTTAAGTCCAAATCTGGCTCCACACTTGGCAGTTTGACCATATTTCTGTAAGATGGAGTTTTACCAGAACAGTGGATCTGCAGCCCCAAGTTTGGGAAAAAGGATCTGGATTCAAACTATGTAACTCAGGTTTGTCCCTAATTTTGGTTCTTGGGTATTACACAAAGAAAATCAGCTCTTCTTTTGTAAGCTTTAAGTGGGGTC